CTGGTACCGAGTGGCTCCTCCGGCCCCCAGTCTACGGCTTGCGACAGGCACCCCGTGAGTGGCACGACACGCTGCATGCTACACTTGCTGACCTACAGTTCTTCTCGTCGTCTGCAGACCCCTTGCTCTTCGTTCGTTCCGGCCAGACTCCGTTCTACATCCTTGTCTACGTAGACGACCTGGTCTTTGCTACTGCAGACAGAGACGCGCTGGGCTCCGTGAAGGCCGAGCTGCTAAGGAGACACACCTGCACTGACCTAGAAGTGTTGCGCTGCTTCCTTGGCATGCAGATCTCCAGAGACAGAGCAGCGCGCACCATCACTCTCTCACAGTCACACTTGGTGCGCCAAGTCCTTAAGAGGTTCTGCCTTTACTTCTCTTCCGCACAGCCCACCCCTCTACCAGTAGACCAAAGACTCTCTGCTCCAGACCCGGAGGAGCTTGTTGATCCTAGTGGCCCCTACGCAGAGCTGGTGGGTTGCCTCATGTACCTGATGACTTGCACTCATCCAGATCTCGCATACCCCGTCAGCATTCTGGCTCGCTTTGTGGCCACCGGCAGACACTGACCACAGCACTGGTCGGCAGCTACAGTGACGGAAACAATTGTCCGGATGTTTTGCAGTAATTAGGGTTTTTGGGCTTTCCGACCACTCTACATAAATTCTTAATGTTAAATGGTGATACGCTTTGGGAGGGGCACATAGTGGATGTGTTCACAGTGCTAAAATCCATAATAGTACAATGGATCTAACTTAGTGCCAAAAGATATACTAAGAGTACATCCGCACAATTATTTCCCATGACAAAGAGCAAACTTTCGCGCAGTGTTTCTAGTACCTAGTCCACCAACACTTGGCCTTGATCACCACCTGCACCCTCCTAGGCATGTTATCTACGAGGTTAGCGCAAAACTTTACAGGGATCTTCTCGCACTCTTTTTGGACCCATCCTTTTGCATAAGGGGGTGAGCACTAGGAAAATCGTGAAGTATTTGAGCGTATGCAATAGTATTGTGCACGATTTCAGATTGAATGTTATCTCTGAGACTAGCCATGCTGAGGTGTGGCCAAAGATGTCATAAGTCGATTAGTCTCATCTTATCATGGATCGTCTTCGTCGTATCGTTGAAGGTTAAAATTACGAGCATAGTCGCGAAAACTAGCGTGTCCGCCGCGAAACTTAGGGTAACATATGTGCCCCTCCCAAAGCGTATCATCATTATACATTAAGACTATATGTACAGTGGTTGGAAAGCCCAAAAACCCTAATTAAAGAAAAACATCCGGACAATTGTTTCTGTCACTGTAAGAGGGTTTTGCGATATCTAGCAAGCACATCGGGCTTGGGGCTAGTGCTAGGAGGACGCAGACCAGTGGTCCTTACTGGGCACACAAACGCTTATTGGGCGAACGACGCCGAGACTCTCCGCTCCTCTCAAGGCTACTCCTTTAGCGTTGGTGCAGGTGCTGTCTCGTGGCGGTCCACCCGCTTATCGTCTGTTGCCCAGTCTAGCTGTGAGGCTGAGATCTACGCTAGTGGAATGGCGGCACAGGAGCTTTGTTGGCTTACGTTCTTGCTCACAGACTTAGGTGAGCAGCCTAGCTCTGCCCCGGTCCTGTACGCTGACAACAGCTGCGGTACTTCCTCCTGCGCGAGCTTCAGCAGCGTCGCCAAGCCCGCGTAGTACACTTGTCCTCTGGTTCCAACACAGCTGATATCTTTACGAAGGCGCTTGCGCCTAAAGATCATCAGCGGCATTGTGTACAGCTTGGTCTTGTTCCTGTAGCCTCTCATTTGCTAGGACCTTGATTGTGTACAGACGTTTATATATATTACCATGACTGTCCTTGTGGCCTCTTCCCAGTGGTTGGACTAGTAGTGTCGCCCTGGTTTTGCTCTTGCCTTGTCTGTGTTCGTTTGACTGGTCTTCAGACCCTTGTCTCAGACATTGGACTAGTAGTGCCACCCTGAGCTGCTTGTCTCTCACCAGGCACTGCCCCTATCTAGTCTAGGGGGTATGTCAAACATATCTTTGTCTGTTGTTATAGACTACACAGGGTTGTGCCTTAGAGAGTACAACCCACTAGGTTATATTCCCTTGTATCCCGTGGTTCTACTCATTCGATTACTTTGATACCATATAGCTAAAAGAGCAAGTGGCAATGTGAGTATACAATTTGAGAGCAGTAATACAATTCTCGAAATCAATTTGAATTGTTTGCCATAAATTGTGTAACAGTAAAATGTTTTGTTGAGTTTGCATCTGTTTTGTCAACTTAGCACCTTGCCGGCCCCTCGCGTTCCCCGCCGGCCCCTCGCGTAACCCGCTGGCCCCTTGCATGCCCGCCGGCCCCTCGCGAGCCTCGTCGGCCCTTAATGCCTCGCCGGCCCCTTTCGCCTCGCCGGCCTTTAGCGCCCCGCTGGCCCTTCGCGCTCCCTACAACCGCAGGTTTCGCCGACCCTTCTTTGGACCGGGTTCCCTGGTGATGCGTCCGCGTTCCAGGTCTAGGGCCGCCTCACTCATGTTCGTGCCTCTTGCACGAACAAGCTCACTACCTGCACTGTCCACTGTGTCTTCCTCGGTTTCCCCCTTGACTCGTCAAACTGGCGCTTTTACCACCCGCTGTCTCACCACTTCTTTCACTCCCCTTATGCCACTTTCGACGAGTCTGCCTCATTTTACCACCGCTTTCCCCACCGAGGTCTCCCGGTTTCCCCTCCCGTGTTTCTAGTTCCCACTCCCCCGGTAGCCCTTGCTCACCTCTCTCCCCATCCTGCTCCGTCTGATGTGTCTCACGTCACTCCCCTCCCATCGGTTGTCCCGGTCGAGGAGTCGGCTGACTTTGGTGGCCCCGCGGCGTAGTTTTCGCCACCTGCCTCTCCCCCAGTGTCTCCTCCTCCACCTTTGCAGCAGCCGCCGTAGTCGCCGCCGTAGCTGCAGCCGCATCCGTCATCGCAGCCACAGCAGCAGCAGCCGCTGCCGCCGCAGTAGCAGTAGCCGTCTGTGGACTCTAGGGGTGCTGGCGTTGAGGAGGGTGCTAGTCCTGGGGTTGCTGTCGTGGCTTGTCCCGGCGGGCCTGGGGGTGGCACCGGTGCTGGAGAGAGTTCTCGCTCAGGGGGTGCTGGAGTGGAGTGTTCTGGAGGTAGCTGTGGTGCAGCTGGTGGTGCAGGTGTCAGCGTGGAGCAGAAGTCGCCGCCGGTGGTAGCCCTTCGCCTGCTTGGCCTTCCCTCCCCTAACCACTCGCATGCGCCTCCCGTGCCCTCTCCTCCCCTTCCTGTCTACGGCCCTGTGTTCCCTCCGTTGGACTCGTCTCCGGCTCATCTTCCCCCTCGTTCCCCTCTTGTGTCTCCTCCTCTGTCTCCTGACCAGATGCCTCTGTCTCCTGTTCAACATTCTCACCCTATATTGCTTTGTTCCCATGCGTCTCGTCCTCCCCTCCTACCTTCGCCTCCTCCATCGTTGCTCGTTGTCGCGCCTCCCCCTCTATCTGACTACCTTCGTGCCGCTCGTCCTCTTGTTCCTCAGGTCCTTGCCTCCCTCGTTACCAACCCGTCTGTTCCTGTCTCGAGTCTTTATGGTCTTGTCACTGCTATCGCTGACTTTGCCTCTACCCGCCGCCTCGACTACGCCACCGCTCTGGTCTCTGACCCTGTCCGTCCTTCGTCTGTCGGGGGTGCTCTTGCCCTTGGCAGTGACGTCCTAGTGGACAGATAGTACGAGCTTGCTTTCCAATCTGAGGCTGCTCCCCATCGCTGTTCCATGCTGCTAGTCCCTAAGGGTGACCCAGACGCCCTTGACATCCCGACCCCTCGCACATACGCTGAGGCGACCTCGAGACCCTGGGCTTCTCAGTGGACAGCTGCCATGGAGCAGGAGATGGCATCTTGGAGATCCACCGGCGCCTACTGTAGATCGAGGCAGTTCCCCCCACCTAGGGTGAACATAGTCGATGGCCGGTGGCTCTTCAAGGTGAAGCGCCCTCCTGGAGAGCTGCCTGTGTTCATGGCGCGCTACGTGGCTAGAGGCTTCACTCAGCGCGAGGGTGTGGACTTCTATCAGACGTTTGCCCCGACCTCAAAGATGGCTACTCTTTCGGCGCTGCTACACGTAGCAGCACAATGTGACTACTAGCTCCGCTCCCTCAACTTCACCACTGCTTTTCTCCAGGGCAGCCTACACGAGCAGGTCTACCTGCGACGTCCACAGGGCTTCACGCGTACCTTCCCTTTTGGAACCTAGTGGATCCTCCGGCGCCCAGTCTACAGTCTGCGACAGGCGCCCCGTGAATGGCATGACACGCTGTGTGCTACGCTAGCTGACTTGCAGTTCTGTCCTTTGCAAACCCCTCGCTCTTTGTTCATGCAGGCCAAACTCCGTGCTACATCCTTATCTACGTAGACGACATGGTCTTCGCTACTGCAGAGAAAGACGCTGTCAGAGGATCGAATGTGTCGAGGAAAGATTGCACTATCGATGAATACAAGGCGCTTTTATACTTCCATAGTACATCAGGTAACCAGGTTTATCCTATCCAAGGGAATAGACCCTTCTAGAATATAGAATCACCCTGCGTATAGCCACGCGAGGCTATTGGCTTTAATGGATTACGGCAGGATTACGCTAGACATAGCGCCCTAGTACATCCCAAGCCTGGTCCGTGATACTATTATAATAACACGATAAACCAAAGGATAATGGAAAAGGAGGAATAGGAAACCAAATGAGATGAGATAAAGACCAAATGAATCAGGATAAAAGGAGGGATGAAAAAGAAAGGAAATATGGAAAGAGGAAATTGGTATGACGGTGTCGTACTCTCACACTTCCCCCCTGAAAGCTGGGTGGTAGACGTAACAACCTGCTTGACAAGGTAGTCATGCATAAGACGATGGGCATTACCCATGTCGGTCTCGGGTACCCAGCTGTCCTCTGAAGGATCATAACCCTTCCAACGAACAAGAAGCTCCACGGTGCCATTCCGATGACGGCGATGTGCAAGCACGGACTCGACCTCGTACTCCGGTTCATTCTGGACGAGGACGGGCGGCGGCGGCGGTGGTAGGCATCTGACGAAGATCGCGTTTGGATCCCAATAGGGCTTCAGAAGTTGGACATGGAAGGCGTTGTGAATCTTCCAGGTAGCAGTTAGGCTTAAGCAGAAGGTAACAGGAGTGACTTGTGCTTTAACGAGAAAATGTCCGCAGAAGCGAGGTCGAAGTTTAGATGGGAGATGGCTAATGTCAAGGTTGCAAGTGTCAAGGAGCACCTGGTCTCCCACGATGATGGTGTGGTCGTTGCGATGGCGATCGGCCTGGCGCTTCTGTTGCTGCTTAATATCGAGGAGGCGCTTGTGGGTCCAATCCCAAAGCTGGTGCATGGTCGTGATGAAATCGTGTGCAGGTTGGACAGTTGCTGAGGTTGTCGGTTTTTGTGGTGTGAGTGGGTGGCGTCCGTAGCAGAGGAAGAACGGCGACTGTCCAGTAGCGGCATATGTAGCGTTGTTGTAAGCAAACTCTAGAATGGGCAGGTGCAAGACCCATTTGGAGATCTCATCCTTGCAAGCTGGTTGGAGGATTTGCTCAACAATTTGGTTGAGGCGCTCGGTCTGTTCGTCTGTCTGCGGATGGTAGGCGGATGACATGGCGAGTTTGGTCCCGAGAAGAGACATTATTAGTTCCTTCCAAAATTTGCTGGTGAACTTGGGGTCTCGGTCGGAGATGAGTGTGGTTGGAATGCCATGCTGTGAGATGATGTAGCGAACGAAGAGTTGTGCTGTCTCCTCGGTGCGTGCTGTCGTGTGTGTCGGGATGAAGTGTCCCATTTTGGAGAATTGGTCGATGACGACAAGGATTGCGTCATGACCGCTGGTGGTAGGTGGTAACCCGGTGATGAAATCCAGGCTAACCACTTGCCATGGTTGGTCTGTCACAGGAAGAGGCTGTAATAGACTTGCCTTCTTCTGCTTGCTGCTCTTCATCCGCTGACATGTATCACACGAGGTGACGAATTTCTGAACATCTTCCGCCAAGTGGGGCCAGTAGTAGTGCTTCGCGATACCGGTCAGCGTCTTGTTGCTACCGAAGTGTCCAGTGTATAGAACGTCGTGGTATTCTTCGAGTAGTAACTGGCGCAAAGGAGGGTAATTGGGTACCCAGATTTTCGTTGATCCTTTCCGGTATGCGATGTCACTGTCCCACTTTAGTAGGTGTCGCTTCTCTGCCAAGGGAATTTCGGGGTCGATGGTGTACCGGTGTGTGAAGAGTCCCTTGAGTATTGGATTCATCCCCTCAACTTGGATAGCGGCAACGTGTGCAGGCCGGCTTAGGGCGTCGGCTTTGTTTTTGTGGCCGGACTTGTACACGATGTCGTATTGGAAGTGTGTCTCGAGAAAGTCGATCCACCGGACCTGTCGCCTGGAGAGATTTGGTTGTGTCTTCAAATATTTTAGGCTGCAGTGGTCGGTGTAGAGGGTTGTTCTTCGTCCTTCAAGATAACATCTCCACGCTCTGAAGGCGATGACAATAGCCAGGGCCTCTTTGTCGTCTATCGGGTAGTTTAGTTATGCCCCGTGCAGTTTCTTACTGAGGTAGGCAGTTGGTTGCAGTCAATTCCCTTGGTCTTGCAACAAGACTGCTCCCACTGAATGGTCGCTGGCGTCAGCTTCGATGACGTAGTCGCATTCGGGATCTGGCGAGATGAATACTGGTGCGGACGTGAGTGCTTGTTTTAGCTGCTCCATGGCTTCCTGTTGTTTCGTCTCCCACTTATAGGGCATATTCTTCTTCAGCAGATTCATGAGTTTCGCATACTGTGGCTCAAACCTGTTGTAGTAATTAGCGAAGCCTAGGAACTGCTGCAACTCCTTCACGTTCTCGGGTGTCTTCCACATACGTACGGCTTCAATTTTCTTAGGGTCGACGTAAACTCCTTGAGCGCTCACCATGTGTCCTAGGAATTGGCCTTTCTCAAGGGCGAATTCGCTCTTGGACAGTTTGACGTAGAATCGTTCTCGCCGAAGATTTTCGAAGACGCGTCGCAGGTGTTCGACGCGCTGTTTCATGTCGCGCGAGTAGATGAGGATGTCGTCGAGGTAAACCACCACGCACTCATCCAAAAGTGCTTGTATAATGTGGTGCATTTCGGCTTGGAATGTTGCCGGTTCATTGGTGAGTCTGAACGGCATTACCAGATACTCGTACGATCCATACCGAGTTCGGAAAGCAATTTTGTGGATAGAGTTGTCCGCCATCCGTATCTGCCAGTATCCGGACCGCAGATCTGGTTTGGAAAATACCGTAGCTCCCCGAAGCTGGTCAAGCAAGTCATCGATTCGTGGTATCGGATATGTATTCTTGATGGTCTGCTTGTTAAGAGCCCGGTAATCGATGCACATGCGCAGGCTTCCGTCCGGTTTCAGTGTGAAGAGCACTGGGGCACCGTATGGCAAAGTGGTTGGTCGGATGAGTCCTTTTGGCTAGGAGATACTCGATCTGTTTTTTCATGTCAGTCAGCTCCGTAGGGCTGAGCCGATATGGTGCTCGGAAGGTCGGTTTCGAACCCGGTTCCTCTACGATCTCGTGTTGATGCGTTCAGTACGGCGGTAGCTCGTTCGGTAGATCGTTAGGAAGAATGTCTTGGAACTCCTTCAACAATTCCTTAATCTTTCCTGGAGGTTCTTAGGTCTTCTCCGCGTCGTTTTCCACTTCTGTTGCTATCGCCAAGAACCCGCTATCTCCTGTATCGTCCCAGTTGGGTAGCTGGACCCTCCTTCCATTGTTGTACATGCTTGCGGTGCGGTTCACCTAGTTGATCTTAGGGTTGAATCTTTTCAGGAAGTCTCGCCCGAAGATCATGTCAAGCCCTTTGATGTTGGTGATGGGGAGTGCAGGACTCCAGCGTAGTGGTCCAATTTGTAGGTGTAGCACCTCTTCGCCGTGTACTGGTAACTTGCTGCCATCCACCATCGTTGCAGAGAATGCTGAAGGCTTGTACTCTTCCCGGAGTCGGTCGATTACTGCCTTGTCACAGACGGTGTGTGATGCTCCGCTGTCCACGAGTGCTTGGAGGCGTCGTCCTTTGCAGATGACCTCGACCACGAGGGGCATGCGTTGCTCGGAGTACCCAAATAAAGTTTCATTAATAAGGTCATAGGGTACATCCCAATGTTCCGTACACACCTTTTCGTTGCTATCTACTCCTGGGCTGGCAGCTGGCCGAGGCTGCTTGGAGAACGGCTCTTCTCCTTGGCCCGGAGTTTCCTTGACGACTGTGCCCGTCGTGGATGCCGAAGTTGCTGAACTGAATGCATCCGGAGGAGGAGTTCGGGGTTTCTGCAGCTTCTTGTAGACCCCCAGCTTCCTCTTGAGCTGCTTCAGCTCCACCAACGTCTTCCCTGGGGAACGGGTAGTCGTTGTGGGCTGGTGTTAGGAGAGGACGTTGACTCCGTGGAAAGGTCGGCTTCTTTCCACACTCCTTAATTCTTTCTGCTTCTTCTGGAGTCCTTCCCGAATTTTCTCCAAGGCTCTAGCCCCTCGAGAATCATAGGTTTTCATTAAAAGCATCTTTATAGGATAGCTTTAACGAATCCTTATAATTTCTTGGGTCTTCAAGGAGTTTCCCCATCTCGGCAGAGTCTTTTTTCGCGGAGTTGGATTTTTTCTTGGCGATTTTCCCTGGCGAAGACTGGTCGTGGGGTGGAGATTTTCCCCCATCATTTCCTCCTGCTCGCGTCAAATTAGCTTCGTCGAAGTTGATATTCTCGGGATCCCGCGGTCGTTTCCAGATCTTTTCTTTTTCGCCAGCTAGATCCGCGATCACTGGCGACTCCCATTTTTTGTCTTCTGATTGGCCGAAGGATTTCCGCCACTGTTTCGTGCCCGATACTCCGCGCGTGCAGCTTTCATTTTGTTGCGGTCGAATATTCGATGGCCCGGCACCCAGCAAAAATCACATGTGTAGTTTGTGTTTTTTGGACGTGGCCGCCCGTCGAACCTGTCGATTTCCATCGTGTCGGCGAACGTGGTGTGAGCCGGTCGCCCATCGTGTACTGCCGGCGTGCGCCCGTCGTGTCCCGGCGTTGAACATGTCGAAGCGCTCCGCTGCCGAAACGACGTCACTATAGCTTGCGTTATTCGTCGCTGCTACCTTCAGCCCGGCGAGGTAAGACTGTACCTTTTTCCCTTCAATCAAGGTGGGAATACGGTTATAAAATTCCTCCATTTGCTGCATGTACTGAGCTACACTCCCGAACTGTCGATGTCGATGACTTTTTTCCCGGGCAAGGAAACCTGAATTTATCGGCTCAAAACGTTTCAGCAGGTGGGTGCGGAACTGCTGCCACGTGGCTTACACGTGGATGAAGGTGTTGTTGCCGCCGATCCACTCAAGTGCCGGCCCTCGCATCAGCGTTGCCGCGAGTCGTACACGTTGACTGTCCCAGACTGGCGAGCTCCATCCGACGGCTGCGAATTAGATCTCCATCCCGCCGATCCATCTGCGGCCGTCGGAGTTTCGATCGCTCGGATTGAACGGCTCAGGTGGGCGCGGTTTCGCAGCCTCAAGAAACTGCTGTGACTGCTGCGTCGTCCCCGTTGTCGAGTCGTGCTGCGCTCTAGCGAGTCGAGTTACTCGCTCGAACTCGATTAGCCACGCCTCGCAGTCCGCTCGCATCTCCTCCTGAAGAGCGGCGATGCTCGCAAAGAGCTGCTGGGTAACCTCGGCGTTGTCGAAGGTCGCCATCCTGTTCGAAACACGCACGGGGGGGGGAGGGGGGTAATTCACAAAATGCGGAGCTGGTGCTTACCAGAATCGGCGCTGAATTCGTCGCCCCCGGCGGTTTTTCGAGGCAGGTTTTCCCGCTGCTACTGCTTTGTTGAGCGCGGCCGAGTGACAAAAACTCTGATTACCAAGTGTTACAGGATCGAATGTGTCGAGGAAAGATTGCACTATCGATGAATACAAGGTGCTTTTATACTTCCAGAGTACATCAAGTAACCAGGTTTATCCTATCCAAGGGAATAGACCCTTCTAGAATATAGAATCACCCTGCGTATAGCCACGCGAGGCTATTGGTTTTAAGGGATTACAGCAGGATTACGCTAGATATAGCGCCCCAGTACATCCCAAGCCTGGTCGTATATAATTGTAATAACAAGATAAACCAAAGGATAATGGAAAAGGAGGAATAGGAAACCAAATGAGATGAGATAAAGACCAAATGAATCAGGATAAAAAGAGGGATGAAATAGAAAGGAAATATGGAAAGGGCAAATTGGTCGGTATCGTACTCTCACAGACGCACAGGCCTCCTTGAAAGGCAAGCTGCTGAGGAGACACACCTGCACTGACCTAGGAGAGCTGCGCCACTACCTTGGCTTGCAGATCTCTAGGGACAAAGCAGCGCGCACCATTACTCTTACACAGTCACACTTGGTGCGCCAGGTCCTTCAGAGGTTCAGTCTTTAGTTCTTCTCCGTACAGCCCACACCTCTACTAGTAGACCACAGGCTCTCTGCTCCTATTCCTGAGGAGTTAGTAGAGCCCACTGGTCCTTACGCGGAGATGGTGGGTTGCCTCATGTACCTGATGACTTGCACTCGTCCAGATCTTGTTGGTGCAACCCTATGGCTTGCACTCGGCTTGTCGTCCTTGTTTGTGTATGTGCATGCATGGCATGGAATGAATTTTGGGTCTATGTCATTGCTATCTAGTGCGTGTGTGTGTGTTTGAATGGTGTATCACAATGTGGTTTGTGTCGGTCAAGACATTAGGGAGTTTTTACAACTCGCATGTCAAGTCGTCGTTTGCGTGTCGCATGTGTTTTTTCTATTTTGTCAAGCGTGAAGTGTCCATCGCATCGCAGGTGTGTGCAGCAAGCCCCCATCAACTCAAGAAGAAATTATCTTCCAGAACCAAGACCAAGAGCTCAAGATTTCAAGCCCAAGGGACACGGATAAATATTAAATAGTGAAAATAGTAACGCTACTTCGTGCAGTATTACATTTCACTTGGTGTAGCTCCGTGGAGGGTTTGTTTCGAGACTCTTCATGGTTGGGGACTCTGTGGTGGTGTACCACCAACCTGGACCTTGGCTCTTGGGGTATGTAGAGGCTGGGAGCCATCTCCATCTCGAATTCTTCTTCCTAAGTTTTTGTACTCCCAAGACTATAGTGGCTCCTATACCTCCTACCAGTCAAACCGCCATAGCGTCGTCAAATCTTCATGGAATTTCA